TTTTGCCACACGTAAACTACTGTGCTCAAATTTGGAATCCCTTTCTGAAGAGAGATATAGCCAAGGTGGAAAAGGTACAGCAGGCTTTTACAATTAGAAGCAAAGAAAAACAAACATGGGAAAGGAATACACTCCACAACACAGATGATCCGTTTCGCTCGGTATCGCAGACGAATCATCATTGTCTAGCCAACCCCCGAGCTCATCAGTGCGATAGGTTGAAGACAAGAGGACATAGACTACATAGGGGAAGGTGTGAGAAATAGGACAAAAAGAGAGAGATTGTAAAAAAGGGGGGTAACATGCAAAGTTCATGCATCAAGATGATGATGAATTACACATAATAATGAAAATTATACATAATAATGAAAGAGTGATATAACACGAAGTGTGCTGTAAATACGTGTGGAAGGAAGGGAAAAGGAGTAAACCGGCAAAACTGAGAGAATGTTGAGTATAAGATCTGCTAGTAGTGGACTGAAATTGCCACCTTGTGGGACACCTTTAGTCTGCTTGAACGTATTATTAGCAAAAAGACAAAAACTGTTACGTAAAAGATAGTCAATAAAGTATACTAAATCGCTGGATTTGTAATATCTGTAGTTGTTCTTGATTTCTTTACCATCTGTATAGAAAACATGGTAACCATTAGTGGCAATAAAGGATCTGTTGGCATTTTTGAAGCAAATGTTAAGAAGTTCTTGCATTTTCTTCAGAATAAGATCATGTTCTAAATTTGTGAACATGTCCGTGAAATCTGCTGTGTAAATTTTGAGATTGTCGAACGTGATGTTGTGTAGTTCGTGACTTATATTAATATTACTTATAGACCAGTATGTCTTGATAGTCCTGTTGCGATTCCGAATTGCTTTAGCATAGTTTATGAAGTGATTTTTAAGATGTGTGAAGACTATGCGTAATTCCTGAGCCAGTGGTTTAATACTACTGCTATGTGCACCTGTGATGTACCTGAATTTAACTGGGTTCTTATGTAGCTTTGGTAAGGCATATATAGTAGGTATTTCTGCATCAATGGATACATTGATATTATTAGACTGGTGTACCTTAGGGTATACCCGAAAACAAAACCGAATAGCGTGCCAAAGTACGAGGAGCGTCTAAAATGGTTAGGACCATTGAGCCTCAAAGAGAGGAGGTTACTCAATTGCCTCACACTTGTTTTCGGATCCTCAGAAGAGAAACGAGGCTAAAACCTAGCAAATACTGGGTTTTTAGACCCTGTAGTGAAAGATCAGGGAGCTTTGGCTTGAGCTACGTGAAAATTCAAAAGAGATTCTATTCGATTATGTTTAACTCCTATTTTTATCGTATGGCCAGGATGCTGGACAAGCTGCCTCCCGAGTTGCTCAGATCGGGAAACGGTAAGGTGTTTAAGAACAGATTGGGAAGATCTGTATCACGGACTCACTTCACTCCTTATTCTAAATGGAGCCAATTCAGATGCCAGAAGACGGGGATGTTTTTCGGATGAGGTCAACGGCGATTGGTTGGTACAAAGAATACTTCCTGTTGCGATCATTATGCTTTTATGTTCCACATTTGTTGCTAACTCCATGTTAATGGTGTTGTAGAGCTCTCTGCGGATGGCATTTTTTTTCTATTTTGTTTCATTTGTCTTATCCACGCTGTACGCCATATGGTGCCGGCTTCGATTCATAGGGGTGTTCGCCGCGATTACGTCTCACATTTGATTCCTTTTCCCGTATGCTTGTGCTCGATATTTTTTTCGAGGCAGGCAAGCCCTTTTAAATCTTTCTATTTCCGCTTCTATCCACCATGTCAGCTCCACGAGGGCCGTTGGTATACCCGTGTGCCGAAGTGCTGGCATGTTCCCTATGACTTCCGCTGGAACGAGGGCGCCATAGCCAACTGGTGTGGATGGTTGCTCAAGTCTTGAGAAGTCTTGCTTGCATGCACTGCTACATTTTGACACAAGCCACGGGTAAGGACCCTATTTCATTATTAACTCTTTGCTCCCTATGAACCTGGCCTACATCATCTCGGCTTTTATCGTTGAGTATTGGTTTGTTCTTGGCACACTCATACAGTGTATATTAAATAAATAAATAAATAAATAAAAGATTTGCTACACGGATACA